CTCACTCTGATAAAGGGCATCTGTGAAAAACCTACAGCTACCATCCTATTTCACAGTGAAAGTTTAAATGTTTTTCTTCTAACATCAAGAGCATAAGTAAGGATTCCTACTTTTACCCCTTCCATTGAAAATAGAAGCGGAGTGTTAAGCCAGTGCAATAAGGCAAGAAAAGAAGTAATGGTATAAAAGTTGCAAATTACAGATGCCATTGTGTAGCATATTATGAAAGGAAAATTTAGCAGCTCTTGAAGTATTTGCCTGGGGGATAATGTCTTGAGAAATTGGTGAGAAAAAGAATGTTTTTAAATCTGTTCTCTTCAGGTTGTAGACTTACATGAGTCCACCTTACTTAGACTGTGCATAGTTTTGATCTAACTTGTTTATAGAAATGCAGGTATTCACATCAAGTTTCTTTTCTTTCTTCTCTGACCCAGTCCTATTATCTCATTCATACTCACTTCTAACCTCTATTGAGTCTTAATGAGATACCATTTTTGTGTTAACTGATTCCTTATCCAACTTTGACATTTCACCCATAATATGTATGTTTCTTATCCATCTCACATATATTTTCCTATAGCTTTTCTTGCTGAAGTTTTCAGCACAGATATTTTACATATAAAAAAATCAGTTGATAAAAGGATGTGTTTAGGATTTATAGGACATATTCTTCATGGTCTTAGGCCACTTAATGTTGTGCCTTTGGAAAACTAAAAAAGAAAGATTCTGAGGCCTCAAAACTATGGTCCTTGATTCTTTGGGCCTCCTATACAATTCTTTCAATGATTCCATAAACCCCAGGAATCTTTAAATTATCTTGAGCAAAGTTTCTTAATTTATAACATCATTATAGATATTTACCCTGCTTTATGTTTATTTCACATGTATATGTATAAATATTTCTCCACCTTAAAGTTAGAAAGTAGCCTTCAGAGAATGAAGTTTTAGGTAGGTCATTTTTCCAGCAGTCTGCTTTTTCAGGGTTTCCAGAGATGTGTCTCAGCTTAATTGATATGTTCTACATGTTATAACCAACTTGAGATCTGACTCCAGAGATGCAACAGCATGCCTTAGACCAAGGGGATTGCACAGAGTACAATCCCACAGACCAAACCCAGCTCACTGCCTTTTTTTCGTAAATAAAGTTCTATAGAAACATGGCTTGCTTTCACAATATAGTGGCAGAATTGAATAGTTGTGACAGAGACAGTATGGCGCACGGAGCTGACAATATTTACTGTCTAACCCCTGACAGAAAAAATTTGCCCATTCTGTGCTAGACAATCTCTCCAACTTTCTCCCTGTGGAAGGAAGCTGCTGAGTCGTGTAACTATTCTTTCATTCAACTGACATTTATTGAAAGCCCATTATGTGCCAGGCAAAATGTAGTTTGGAAACCACCTTGGCACATGCAGTTTGGCAGATATATTAGATACCTGAACCCCAAACTCCTTTCTCTACTCCTTCTTCTCCTAATGAGGAATCCACACTTCACTGTCACCCCACACGGAGTGTGCCTGACAACAAGATCCCAGACTCCTCCAAGGTGAGGAATGTGTTTGTCTGAGCTGTGGCTAAATCTTCCAGTCTGCTGGCTCATCACCCCTGACTTTTTAGCCAGGTGCTAAGATTTGGAGACAAGGGTGAGGAAACCAATCATCCATAAATACCACTCCTTTTGGTCACAGGGAATAGTCTCTGTTACATTTGGAAATTGATTCCCAGTTTACTGTGTTTGTTTGCAAAGCTTCTGTTACCATGGTTAAAAATACCCAAATTCTTACTTCATTTTTGACAATAAATTGCTAAAGGGTGAACTATGTAAATCCAGATATTTTTGGAGAAGTTCCATATGGCAGTGGAGGTTCACACTGAAGCTGAAGTCGTGGTTCTTCCAGAGCCAACTCTGCCCTTTAGAAAACAGTGGATTAATCCTGCCTGAGGGGAAAAGAATTCAGGTCACAGCCTGGGCCAGACTGGCTGATTGCCAATTCCTGAGGATTCTTTCTCTGCAATAGCTCTTATTGGCTTCTCCTTTGCCCTCCCATTGCCTCTCTGCTACCTTTGGCATTTATTTGCTCTCCTCATTTCAGGGCCACAGAAGTTCACTGGTCTCCAGGTCCTGTGCTCACACTGCTCCTGGCTGACATTGCAAACCACAGCTAGGTGGAACCAAGGCCAGAACTAGAGTTCAGTCTCCTGTCCCCAGTTCAATGCTCTTTTCCTGCATCCCACAGCTGCCTTCTGCTGTGTTCTTACCAACATTCTCATCCACTACTGGCTTTTCTCTGTTTCTAAAGGCTGGACAAAGTCCAGTTTAGCAGCTGACATTCTATTGATTTGGGTACTTAACCTATAAGAATCATAACAGTATGATGCTTCCATCTCTGCCTATACAGCAAGTGACAGAAAATGGCTCGTTTCTGCTGATTTCTCCCATAACTGGAAAAGAGGCCAGGGTTGTTTACATGTTTGATCTTATTCATAAAGTAATCCTGCAGACTTTTGTATTCTCTCCTAGATCTCCATTTCACCAGCCTGTGACTTGTTGGATTTGCATGTGCCTGGTTGGGAAACCATGTCATCCTTGTATTTCTGAGTCCCACACACCAGTGGCATGGCTGAATGACACGTGCTTGCCAGCCATGGCTGTTTAGCCCTTACCCAGTGGTGGCACTTCAAACCACCCAAAAGAAAAAGTATAGGACTTGAGGGCTAAAGTCAGAGTCATCGTGAAGAGTAAGAGAAGCGTTAAAAACAAAATTCAACCAAGTAAATTTGAAGATTTAATTGGCTTTATTCAACAATTTATGAATCAGGCAGCTTCCCATTTAGCAACCAGAAGGGCACTCTGAAGGGTTGTACAAAATGGAAGGTTTTTTTTATAGGAAGAAGGGTGGGGCAAGGGAACTACTAGCAAAAGAAAAGAAAATACTATTTTTAGGCCAGGACAACTTCTTTTTGGGTAGAAGGGAGTTGCATGGGTTTTATGTAGATTGCCTCTTCTTCCTCCGGGGGAGGAAGGGTGCGGTGCTGACCAGAATATTCCAGACTGGTTGATTGAGATTACATGTCTGGGGAAGGTCAAAACTGCAGTTAAGTCAGGTTTTAAGTCTAGGTTTGGTATCATGGGCTTTAGCACAAGTGATGCCATTTGGGGCCTGTGGTTTTCTCCAGAGGGAAGAAGATGACAGGAAAAAGCACTCTGTACTATCCCAATTAGTGCTTAAGAGATGGGCTTTGGAGCTGGGCACACATGGGTGTGAATGCCTCCACTTCAGCTGTGAGTCCTTGGGCAAGTGCTTACTCTCCCCTTGCCTTGGGTTTCCTCATCTGTGAGACCCGGGTGGTATCTTCCAGCCAGAAGAGTTGTATGGATCAAATCACGTCATGAATACGTAAGGTGCTTGCGCAGTACTGGATCACAATACTTTGTTTTCTTAAGGGTGGAAAGATTTGGAGAAAGGCTATGAAGAAGGATCTACTGAAGGCACACATAGCCTACTAAGCTTCTAGAGGATATAATACAGTTTTACCCTCGAAAAATAGTGGTAAATCAGATCTCAGCAAGCCACGTTATCCTGGTGACACAAATGAAAGCACTTTGCATTGCCTTAAGCCATGGACAGAGTAACCACCCAAATGAGTCATTTCCCACCCCCATTACCACGAAGAGGAGGGCACAGGAAGAAAACTAATGAGCTATTTGTTCTCGTAATGCCTGTGGGATGAGCCACAAAATAGTCAGTGACCACAGAAACATTTTATTCCTACCACAAATAAACAGCAATTGATTCATGGCTACATACAAACATTCACCTTGATTTTATATGTTATCTCTTATTCAAATAGCAGAGGGTGTGGGATTGTAATATTGGGTTTCATAAATTAATGTTAATCATAATTATTATAACTGTTAATAATACTAATAAGTTAATATTATAATGCTGATTAATGCCCATTATAGTTATAATTTCATAAATTAATGTGAAAATATCAGCTTCTGTTGTTTACTTAATATATCTGCCTACACGTTAAATGAGACTGGGTGTATGATGTCCCTACAGAGTCCTGGAACTCAAAACAGGGTTGTTGTTGTGCTTGTCCTTGTTAATATACTAACTAGCATATTAATTCAATGTTTATTCTTATTTTTTAATTGGTGAATTATAGTCAGTTCCTCAGAGTATGGATTCTCTTTTTAGGATGAGCCATTATATCTAAGATAATATTTACTTTTGAGATTCTAAAAAATGTCTATTCCTATTATTTCTTAATGAAGACTGCCGGCCACATCAGGGAAGATTATTTTATAATGTAAAAGAATAATAATTTTTTAAAAGCAGGACAAAAGCTAAATTGGTTTCCTCTACCCTTAGGATTTCTACCCAAAACCCTAGCACCAGATTGTGTTTGAGGGACTTAGGAGATAAAATAGCGTGCAAAGTAATTTTCAGGTCAGTTTCTTCCAAACAGCAATTTGGAATGCTAGGCGTGCCCAGGCCTAATTTACAAATCTCAAAAGCACAGATCCAGTCTGTGGTCTAACCAGCCTTCTAGCCAAGAACTCTCAAAAAATATTTTTAAAGTCAATTCATTAAGTACAAACCCAAACACACTGGAATTTTAAGGGTTTTCATTGGGGTAGAGGAGTTGGAGAAAAGTTTTTTAAAAACCACAAAATTTGCCCATGAGTATTGGCAAAAAAAAAAAAAAAAAAAGCCAATCACTGTAGATGAACTACTCCTAGCAAAACAATATCACCAGGCAGGCAGTGCGGGATGGGCATCATAGAAAATTAAGGCAAAACCACGTTCTGCAATCAAACACTAACTCTTCAGAGAAAAAATCACAACTAATGAATGCAGTAGGGCTTTAAGTTTTTTTTCCTATACACAGATGGGAGAAGCAATCAAACTGTCTGAGCACAAAAAGTTTCTGTGAAGACTACTTACCACATTTTTGCTATCTGTTTATTCTGTCATCCTCTCTGCTCACAGGGGTCAAGCAAGCACCACTGCCATCCGGTGCTGATAGAAATGTGTCAGTGGACTCTTCTCACTCCACAAAAAAACCAGGTAAGGAATAAAATGCTGACTCCCTCACTCAGCTCTGCTCTAAAACTTGTAACTGCAAGTTACATGTGCTGCAGCAAAAAACAGTAGCATCCTCACTGTCCCCAAAGCATCAGAACCATGCTAACAGTACAGGGGTATTGCTAGATAAACATACCAAAATATTATCTTCAGGAAAATAAAAAGTGCTTTATACACAAATTAAATATTAATAAGAACCTCTAACGAGGCACTGATTTAATAATTACTTTATATAATGTTCTGAGGGGTCACAGTGGACAAATGCTGAAGCGTAATGGTGGATTCTAGCTTTCATCATAGACAAGTTTTGTTCTTATGTAATTTATTATAATATCCTTTTGCCTGAAATGATTTATGTTTCTAATTTGAGGCAGTGCTCTATATAATAGGCCAAAATTATGAAGCAAAAATATCTTTGCATTGAATAAGAACTCTGTGCTTTTAAAAGGATGCTGTGAAACCTACTCTGATGTATTGATGTCTGGGTTAGAGATCTGTATTGTATCATCACCACTCACTCTCCCTCCCGCCCTGCAGTACATGCACACACACATGCACGCACGTGCACAATTCCTAATGTCCCAGGAAGTACTTAAAGCCACAGGGCATTTTCCTGGATTGTCAATTTTACTTGAAGATTTTTAAACCAACATATTATGCAAAGAAAGAGATGAATTTTTAAGCTATAGCACAAGACTTAAAAGAAAATTTGGGTTAAGGTGGGCTGCTCCAGGTACCTCTAGCCTTGTCCACCTTTGTGCAGATTATAAAAAGGTGTCTCTTCCCTGTGCCCTTCGGGCAAACCATTTAGAAAAATGTTCCTTTCTTCTGGGCTGGCAGCCTTGCACCAGGGCTCATGGGTGGGTGAGAGAGCAGAGTGGATGTGAAACTTTGCCTCCCACTTACAGCTCCCTGGCCAGGTGCCCTTGTGTGGTGACTCTGCTCTCCATGGCCACAGGCTTATTGCTTCTGCCATCAGGGCTATTTTGTTGTAATCGTTTGAGAAGTTCTGAAAGTGTTTGTTTAATTATAATTACATAATAGAGTTCGAGGATGGGGTGGGACACCTACTAAAGGAGAAATTATATGCTTTACCAACTCAAAGCTAAAATGGTGTAAGAATTGTAGCCTGCAAATCAAAGGCAATTGGAGATAATGAGACACAGAAATGCTACTGTTGAGTCTATATAGGAAACTAAAGATGATAAATTCTATACATCTATGTTCTACTTTTCCTTTCAAAGGGCAGATGTACTGATATATTTTCATCTATAATTAGAGAATATTTTCCCCATACACAAATGTGCTTCATTATCCCTGGGTACGTTACAAGCACTAATTTAGAAGAATATCAGAAAGTATTGCAGGCACTTTTCTGTAGAATCTGTTCTCTCTCATCCAACTGCTACTTGTCAAACATTATATTTTTTTAAAACCCATGATTTTTATAGAGTGAATCCTTATGACCACTTTATCTGTAATATAATCTCCTAGCCACAATCCCAGGCACTCGTCGCCCACCCTTGCCACCTAGACCCATGCCCCCACGAAGAAAGCCTTTACCACCAAATAATGTCACCGGAAAGCCAGGAAGCACAGGTACGTCAATCACATACCTTCCTTCTCCCTCCTTGATTTCACTGGCCAAATGCAAGCCCTTCTTGGTGTGATAGCTCAAGCAATGGATGAGCCCTTGGTGTGTGTGACATGTGTCTGTTTTGGCCCCAAAGACCAGACTGTAAATTATAGTTTTGAGGACTCATATCCTGATTCTGGGTGGGTGGGGTGAAAACAACCACCCATGTCCATCTAGGCCAGTTTGCTTCTTAGATGCTGTGTGCTTGGTGCTGAGACAGAAGCTATCACAGGTTCTTCAAAAAGTGGATTGTTTTGGATGAGATGTTTTGTGCTGCCAACCCACCAGATGTAATGGAAAATGTCGTCCACTCATCATCCTGTCTCTTGATATAGAACCTTTTACATCTCATTGATAGCTCCCCTGTCCACCAGGCTTCATGCTGACCCCAGTATTACGGTGCAAGGGGAAGGATTCAGAACTGGAATACTCAGGGTGACTGAGCAGGTCTAGCCTGTGCAACAAGGCAGGAATATATTTTAGAAGTCAAGCTGCCTCTCAGCTTGCTCACATGCCTCTATCCTAGGGCATGTGTTGTCTTCTTCCCATAGAATGACCACTCCGAGTCACCTGGGATACTTGTACTTCATCCTTGTCTTGAAGAAGCCTTCTCTAGCTCCCCAAAGTAGACTTAGCATTGCTTCTCTGTTCTACTTTTCCCTGAAACATACCTCTGTTAGAGCGAACCACTGTTTTATACCTATTTGTTTGTGTACTTGTCTTCCCCTACTATATCATGAGCTCTTTGATGACAGGTGACATTTTCTCTGAATTCCCAGAACCAAATCCAGTGCTCATTGAGTGAATCCAGTAATCATTGAGTGAATACGTGGGTGAAATTAAGAATCAGTGAACCTAGTTCAGAGCAAAGATTCACCTCACTTTTCTTAAAGTTTCTTCCAGTGGACCTTCCAGCAGATCAGATCATGTTCCCATTTTTCCTCCCTCTTCCTTCATCTCTACTTCCTAAATATTCTGTAGTCAGAATCAGGATAACAGTGTTAAGGACAGCTGTGAAAGATGAAACTGATAAGGATTTCTGAGAAAGAGATTGGCTGTCACTCTTTTCACAGGGTGAAGGAGGGTGTGGTGATGGAGAAGCTTTCATGATGTAGCAAGGGGACAGTGGCCTCTAGATTATTTTTCCCATCAGCTGAAGGAGGAATCAGCCTCTCATCCATGCTGATGGTGCCTTCCTGGGTCCAGGCCTAGGGACATGGCCCCAGTGAGACCAGGTTTTCCTCATTAATTGTAACCTGGGGCAGCTGTGACTTGAGCTTCCGTAGCTTTTAGTTCAGACTGAAAGTGATGCCTCAGTTTCCCCCATGGAAGAGTCAGGGGAACCACCCACCACAGAGCTCCCCTACAAGGCTGGCTGTGTGTCTTCAGTTGCACCTCCACGGCCTTGGTTCCTGCCATATGAAACCTTGCTCACTGCCATCAATAAGTGTAGCTTTGGTATAACTCACCCAGCCTGTGGGATGGTATAAACACATCCCACTTCTGAGATTAACTCTGGTGCCCTCCCTGCCCCGTGCTTTCCACCTCTAACTCAAAAGAAATGACTACACTGAAGAGCCAAACACAAATGAGGTCAGTTATACAGATTTGGCCTGCTGACCATCACAGAAAGTGCGTACGGAATTCAGGAAATCAACTCAATGTTCTGGGAGTCCTCTGAACACAAGCCTTCTTGCACATGTGCCTCTGAGAACAGTCTTAGGCTACTACGAGGCATCTCCACCTGTCCCCTATCTCCAGATCTACCGAGGCCTCTCAGTCCCGCTCTCCTTGCCAGGATGAACGCTGCTCTGCACCCTCTAAAAAGCTCCTTCGGGCTGCAGTGCAGTGTCTCATGGTTTTCACTCACCCTCTCATTGGGGCCTACTCCCACCAGGACCAGGAGCATAAGTCTGCAGGGGCTGGACCAGCAGCCCATCTGAATGGCTCATCTGTGATTCTGTGCTGGGCCACAGTCCTTGGGTCAGTCTTGTACCCTTTGACTCTCTATTGTCTGAGAATGATTCCTTTTCCCAGGAGGACTATAAAACCTAATCTAGCCTCCACTCTATTCTACCCATACTTGCCTAGACCTTGGGATGCATCCTGTTTGGGAGACCTATAGGTGTTTTTAGAGTGGAGGAGACATTGTTGAATATAGCATCTCAGAGTGACACTGTTCTAGCTACAGGCCAGAATCACAGACATTACCTTAGAAACTTCTTCTTCTTCCCCCCCAGCCATCTCCCATGCCTGCCAGGTAATCTGCAGTCAGGCCACTCCATCCCCTTGACATTTCTCATGTAAAACCCCTTCCGTCCAGTCTCACTGCTTCTTACATTGTTCACCTCCTCCGCCCTTGCCTACGCAACTGCTTTAGTCTCTTGATTTCTCTCTGCCACCAGCCTTGCAACTTAACTGTTCACCCTCTCCTCATCTGATCATGTTACTTCCCTAGTGAAAATCTTTTAATGGGTCCTTATCACCTAAAAATAATATCTAAATCCATGGTATGCAAGGCCCTTCATGAACTGCCCTTCCCGGCCCCTCCATACTCTGCTCTCACTGCTCCTGGCACTCTTGGCTCTCACCCCTTCCAATTCAACACACCACGTGATTTCATGCTTCCCTGACCTGGTTCTTCCTGCAACCTCTGACTAGAATACAGCTCTCAGGCTTACCTACTGATCACTTCTCTTTATTGGTACCTCTGGGAATCCATCCCCTTGACATTTCTCATGTAAAACCCCTTCCGTCCAGTCTCACTGCTTCTTACATTGTTCACCTCCTCCGCCCTTGCCTACGCAACTGCTTTAGTCTCTTGATTTCTCTCTGCCACCAGCCTTGCAACTTAACTGTTCACCCTCTCCTCATCTGATCATGTTACTTCCCTAGTGAAAATCTTTTAATGGGTCCTTATCACCTAAAAATAATATCTAAATCCATGGTATGCAAGGCCCTTCATGAACTGCCCTTCCCGGCCCCTCCATACTCTGCTCTCACTGCTCCTGGCACTCTTGGCTCTCACCCCTTCCAATTCAACACACCACGTGATTTCATGCTTCCCTGACCTGGTTCTTCCTGCAACCTCTGACTAGAATACAGCTCTCAGGCTTACCTACTGATCACTTCTCTTTATTGGTACATCCTCTGGGAAGTCATTCCTGCCCTCCTCCCACCCAGCACTCATCATCTTTCCCTGTAGACTTGTCCTCTCTGAGACCTTATCCCATGCTTTCACAATATCTATAATGGTCCAGTATAATTTGGCTCACACATCTCTCCCGATCAAGGACACCAGGTCTTATTTTCTCTCTAATCCTGGCATATAATGCCAAGCCACATGGTAAGCGCTAATAAATATTTATTGAGTAAATAAATGGGGAACTCAGCAGGGCTCCCTATAAAGCCTGAATCCTTTGGCTCTACATTACAGGAATCATTTCATCAGGCCGAGTAACTTCCCCACCCTTGAGGGCAACACTCAGACCTACTGAAGCCCCCTTGGAGAGAACAGAGACAGATAAAAAGCAACCAACAGCTCCTGCCTCAGGAGAAGATCTTGGTTAGTATATCAGTCACTTCCCACTGGATGCTTAGCTACGAAGTACTAAAGGATTTTAAACTAGGGAGAAAAGAGTCCCAGTTCTGGATCATCTATTTTACTCAATTTTATGATTGCTATGAATTTTTTAATTTAAAAATTATACTTATTTATAATGTTTTATTATAGAATGTGCTCCTTCCCTTTTGCAGACATAGAAGGAAGTTCCCAAGATCTTTAGGAAAGTCTTCCTTAAAAGATCTAGATTACCCAATGCTTCTTACTAAATCGCATGTCATTACTAATTATGCATACCTTAAGTTATTAATGAGTATTAGCTACTTGGTTGTAATCTTTGAATCATTATTTATTACACTGAAGGGCACCAGCAGGACACAATTAAAGGCCTTTTAGTGTGGATAATATGTATAGTAATACTAATAATAATTGAAATCAAATTGCAATGAATTGACTAGGAGGCATATGTATTAAATATTTATAGTTTTACTACTTTTTCATTGTATCTTCCATTCTCAGGTAATATGACTGACTTTAGCTCAAGTCCAACAAGAGAAACTGATCCTCTTGGGAAGCCCAGATTCAAAGGTATGTATGACTGGCTCCAAATCTCCATTTTAAAAAAGCTATCTTTGGTGGGTGTATCAGTCAGCTGTTGCTGTGTAATAAACACCCACAAAATCTTAGTGGCATACTCTAAAAAGGATTTATTTCTCATGTGTCTACAAATTGCCAGGAGGTCAGCTGATCTACCATGTGTTTGGCTGGGTGGTTCTACTTCTAGCAAAAGGTACAGCTGGGCCTCTTATCAGTTAGGCTCAGGTCTGCTCCACTTCTGTTCATTTTGGTGCCCAGGATGAAAGACTAACAGTGACCCAAGAGAAGCCATTCTCATGACAGTACAAAGTGAAGAGAGGAGGAGTCCAAAAACATGACCACATTTCAAGCTCCTTCTTGTGTTATACCTGCCAGTATTCAATGGCTAAAGAAAGTCACATAGCCAAGCTCATAACAAAGATTGGGGAAGTATACTCCTTCCGTGGTTATAGAGAATGTTTTTGAAATATTTATTTATTTGTTTGGCTGTGCCGGGTCTTAGTTGCAGCATGTTGAGTCTTTGTTGCCACTTGCAGGATCTTCATTGTGGCATGCAGGATCTTTTTAGTTGCAGCATGTAATCTCTTAGTTGAGTTGAGTCAAATTTTCTATATGACACAAAGTATGAATGCATGTGGGATCTAGTTCCCTGACCAGGGGTCAAACCCAGGCCCCCTGCATTGGGAGTGCAGAGTTTGTTAGAGAATGTTAGAGAATGTTTTTGAACAGTAATCTAATCTACCACAGTAAAAGAGAGATTATATGATATAGAACCCAGTATTTCCTTTTGTGATATGTTTTTCTGAAGTATAAAATTTGATAAATTTCAACATATGTATATACCCATGAAATATCATCACAATCAAGATAATGAATACATGCACCACCTCCAAAAGTTTCATCATGTATCTTTATAATCGCTGCTCCTCACTCCTCCCACCCAACCTCTAGTCCCTAGGTAACTATATTATAGATTAGTATGCATTTTGGGGAATCTTACATAAATGAAAAAAGTACAGTATGAACTTTTTGTGTGTGATTTCTTTCACTCAACATAATTATTTGGAGATTCATCCATGTTGCTAAATGTATCAGTAGTTTATTCCTTTTTATTACTGACTAGTATTCTATTGTATGGATATATACTAATTTATTAAAACTGTTCACGACATTTGGGTTGTTCTAATAAAGCTGCTATGACCATTCATGTACAAGTCTTTGTGTAGACATATGCTTTCATTCCTTTTGGACAAATTCCAACAAGGAGAATGGCTAGATTGTATATAAATGGACATTTAACATTTTAAGGAACTGCCAAACTGTTTTCCACAGCAGTTGTACTGTTTTCCACAGCAGTTGTACTGTTTTGCCTTTCTGCCAACAGTATATGAGAGTTCCAGTTCTTCCACATCTTTGCCAACACTTGCTATGGTCAGTCTTTTTAATTTCAGCCATATGATTAAAGGTTTAGTAGTATCTGATTGTGATTTTATTTTGCATATCCCTAATGACTAAGGATGCTGAACATCCTTTCATGTCCTTATTTGCCGTCTGTATATCTTTTTTGATGTGTCTGTTCAATTTTTTTGTCTATTTTTTATGGAGTTGCTTATTTTTTTATTATTGAGTTTTAAAAGTGTTCATATTTTCTGGATTGAAGACCTTTTTCAGATACACACTTTGCAGTGTGTATTTTCTTCTAGTGTTTGGCTTCTCTTTTTTAATTTTAATGAAGCTCAGTTTATCAATTTGGTTTTTTATACATAGATTGTATCTTTTATGTTATATTTAAGAAGTCCTTGACTAATCAAAGGTCACAAAGACCTCCTCCGTTTCCTTCTAGAAGTCTTCTACTTTTACATTTAGGTCTATGATCCGTATTGAGTCAAATTTTCTATATGACACAAAGTATGAATGCATTTATTTTCTCACTTATGGATATCCAAATCGTTCCAGCATCATTATTTGAAAAAACTGTTGTTTCTCCACTGAATTTAATTTGTACCTTTGTCAAAAATCAATTGTCCATATATATGTGGAACTATTTTGGGGTTTTCTAGTCTATTCTAGTGATCTATTTATCTACCTTTCCATCAATACCACAGTGTCTTGATCACTGGTTTTATAATAAGCGCTGTGATCAGGTTATGTTAGTCTTCCAACATTGTTCTTATTTTTTAAAAGTTGTTTTGGTAACTCCACGTCCTTTTATATTTCCATCTGTATTTTAGAATGAGTTTCTCAATGTCTAAAAAAAAATAGCCTGTTTATATTTTTATTAGAATTGCGTTGAATCTGTAGGTCAACTGGGAAACATTGACAGCTGTACAGTATTAAGTCTTATTACCTATGAACATGGTATATCTCACCATTTATTTAGGTGTTCTTCTTTTCTCTCACCAATGTTTTGTAGTTTTCCATGTAAAGAAAACCATAAAAGTAGCATTTTTTATTTCAGTTTCTAATTGTTCATTGCTAGTATATAGGAAAACAATTGTTTTTCATTCAATGAGCTTGTATTCTGCAACCTTGCAAACCTCTGTAAGTCTTTTTGTAGATCCACTGGATTTTCTACCTACAGAATCATGTCATCAGAGGGGAAAGTTTTACTTCCTCCTTTCCAACTTAGGTATCATTTTTTCTTGCCTTTCTGTACTGGCTAGAGCCTCTAGTGAAATATTGAATAGAAAGAGTGAGGTTAGGTATCTTTTTCTTGTTCCTTATATTATGGGAAAAGCATTCAGCCTTTCACCATTAAGTATGGTGCTTCCTGTAGGTTTTTCATAGATGCCCTTCATTGTGTTGAAAAAGTTTTCTTCTATTCCTGCTTTGGTGAGAGTCATTATCAGAAATGAATGCTAGATTATGTCTAATAATTTTTCTGACTTTATTGAGATGCTTATGTGGTTTTCCTTTTTTAGTGTGTTAATGTGATAAAGTAATTGTTCTTGAGTTGTAGGCTACCTTTGCATTCCAGTGACAAATTCCACTTGGTTATAGTGCATTCTCATTTTAATATATTGTTGGATTTAATTTGCTAAAATTTTGTTTAGAATTATATTCAGTGAGGGACATTGGTCTGTAGTTTTCTTGTAATGTCTAAGTCAAGTTTTAGTATCAAAATTATGCTGAATTTTTCTTCAATTTTCTGAAAGAGTTGAGAACTGGTGTTGCTTCTTCCCTAAACATTTGTTAGTATTTACCAGTAAAGCCATCTGAGCCTGATATTCTCCTTGTGAGAAGGGTTTTACATGTAACTCACTTTCTTTAATAGGTATAGGACTATTTAGAATATTGTTTTCCATAGTGAACTTTGGTAATTTTTGTCTTTCAGGTTATTGGTCCATATCATCTAAATTGTCAAGTTTAGTAGCATAATGTTATTCATATTCTCTTCTTACTTTGATATCTGTATAATTTGTAGTGATGTCACCTCTTTCATTCCTTTTATTGACAATGTGTGTCTTATTTTTCTCTTTTGCCTAACCAGTCAGGCTGTAGGTTTATCAATTCTTTTGATCTTCTGAAAAGATCAACTTTTTTTCCATTGATTTTGTCTATTATTTTTCTGTTTTCTATTTCATTTATTTTTTACTCTGATCTTTATTGTTTCCTTTTTCTGCTTAATCTGAGTTTCATTTGCTCCTCTATTCTAATTTCTTAAGGTAGAAGATGAGCTCATTGATTTTGAGCCCTCTCTTCTTTTCAGATATGGAATTTAGTCCTACAAATTTTCCCCTAGATATTATTTAAGCAGCATCCAAAAATTTTTGATATGTTGTGTTTCCATTTGTACTCTGTTCAAAATACTTTTAAATTTCCTTTTTGGTTTCTTCCTTGACTTACTAGAAGTATGTTATTTAATTTCCAAATATTTCAAGATTTTCTAGAAATCATTTTGTTACTGATTTCTAATTTAACTCCATTGTTGTCAGATACTCTGTATTACTTGAACCCTTTTACATTTATTGAGACATTTTTTAAGGCCAAGAATGTAGTCTGTCTTGGTATATGTTCTCTGTGTACTTGAAAAGAATGTGTATTTTGCTGTTCTTAAGTGGAATGTTGTATTGGTTTGCTAGGGCTGCCATAACAAAATACTACAGACTCGGTGGCTTAAACAACAGAAATTTATTTTCTCACAGTTCTGGAGACCAGAAGTCTGAGATCAAGGTATCTTTGATTTCTCACATTGGAAATTAGGGCTTCACCATAGGAATTTTAGGGAAACACAATTCAGTCCATAACAAGTGTTCTATAAAAATGTCAATTAAGTCAGTTTGCTTGGTTGTATTGTGCAATTCTTTTATATCCTTAGCGATTTTCTGTCTACTGTTCTGTCAATTAATGAGAGAAGAGTACTGAAATCTCTAGCTCTAATTGTGGATTTATTTCTACTTAACAGTTCTATCATTTTTTACTACATGTATATTAAAGGTCTGTATTTACATATAGACCTAAATTACTTAGGGTTGTAATAAACTCCTGAGGAATTGGTCCTTTATTATTATGAAGTGACCTTTTTTTGTTTATGGTAATATTCTTTGCTCTAAAATCTAATTTGTTGATATTTATATATCCACTCAAGCTTTCTTTTGATAAGTGTTATCATGGTATCTCTTCTTTTCATCCTTTTACTCTTAACCTGTTAGTCTGTTTGTTTAAAATCTTGTCCCTATAGGTATCACATAGTTGGATCTTGCTTTTTCACCCAGTCTGACAATCTCTGCATTTTATTTTGGGTGTTTAGAACCTTACATTTAACATGACGAATGATATGGTTAGGTTTAAGTCTATCATCATATTGCTATTTGTGTTTTATTTGTCCCATCTGTTCTTTGTTCCCTCTTCCCTTTTTCTTCAGCCTTCTTTTGGACTGAGTATTTTTATGATTCCATTTCATCTTTTTTTGTTGTCCTACTCCTATAACTTTTTTGTTTATTTTAGTGATTGCTTTGGGGTTTATAGAATGTGTCTTTAACTTACCACAGTATCTTCCAGTGATATCCTACAACTTCACAAATAGTGTAAGAACTTTACATTAGTATAGCAGCTTTTCTCTCCTCCTGGCCTTTGGGCTATTGTCATTATAGTTTACTTTTACATGTTATATACATCACACTAAATTGTTAATATTTTTGTTTAAACAACAAATTGTCTTTCAGAGAGAATTTAATAAGAAAAATACTGTGTATATTTACCTATGTAGTTACTGTTTCAAGTGCTATATTTCCATCCAGCCTCCTTTTCCTTCCACCTGAAGGACTTTCTTTAATCTTTCTTGTAGAGTGGGCCTGCTGGTCATGAATTCTTTCAGATTTTGTATGTCTAAAAAGTATCTTGCTTTTTTTTTTTTTTGTCCTTTTGTTTTTTTAAAAGATATTTTCACCAGTTATAGCATTCTAGATGATAAGGTTTTTTGTCTTTGTTTTTGTTTTTTAGTAGAGAAATACATTGTTCACTGCCTTCTCACTTGCATTCTTTCCGCTGAGAAATCTGCCATAATCCTTCTTTGTTGTTCTATGTATAACATGTCTTTTCTTGTCTGCCTCCTTTAAAGATCTCTAGAAATTTAATTTGGGTCTTTTTTATAGCATCCATTTCTTAACTCTCGACCATGTGGATTATAGTGATGATAACTGTTTTACTCTCCTTGTCTGATGATTGTTACAGCTATCCAAGTTTCAGGTTGGCTTCAAATGATTTATTTTTCTCCTCATTATGGGTAATATCTTCCTGTTTATTTTATCCAGTTTGGAATATTTTTATTCCTAAAATATTCTTGTATTTTATTCTGGGATGCAGTTTAAATAACTTGAAACCACTTGATCCTTTTGAGTCAGGCTTTTAAGATTTATTAGGTGGGACCAGAACTGTGTTTAGTGTAAAGTTAATCATTCCCCAGTACTGAGACAAGACCCTTTTGAGCACTGTTTCCAATGCTCCATAAATTATGCAGTTTAAACCACACTCAGGGGGACCAAATTACTTTTGGATATTAGCATAAACTAAACCTATTTAGAAAAGTAAATCAACAATAACATCCATATCATGTATCCCAAAGATAGGGTTCTGGATTTTCACAAGTTCAAACTGTCCACATCATTGCTTTCATCCATCTGCTTATAGTATTAGATCAAATGTCCTCAAACAGATAATTTTATTTATGAGTTCACCTCGACCTTTTTTCCAAGCTCAAAAAAAAAAAATGCTCAATGTCCTTTCTGTCTTAGGTCCTCACGTGCGGTATATCCAAAAGCCTGACAACAGGCCCTGCTCCATCACTGACTCTGTCAAGCGATTCCCCAAAGAGGAGGCCACAGAAGGGAATGCCACCAGCCCACCACAGAACCCACCTACCAACCTCACTGTTGTCACTGTGGAAGGGTGTCCCTCCTTTGTCATCTTGGACTGGGATAAGCCACTCAATGACACTGTCACTGGTAAGATCATGACACGTGGACCGTCACTACGGTGGGAAGCATTGATAGTGCGATGCATTGGGAATATGGTACCTTGATTCAAACTGTGGCCTGCGAGGCATATCTTTGGAACAGCAAGTCCCCTCAGAGTTCTGCTGTCCCTGTGGTACATGATTGTTAAAAGTATCATAAGATGCGAAAAGATCATCTTTGTCCTGGTTATGGTCTCCCTGTTAATTTAGCAGATCTCTTTAAGTTGCATACCTTCCTTCTCCTCTCAGAACTGTTTTTCACAATGTGAAGGTATATCTAGTCTTTTCATTACCTGAAAATCACAGATAACATATGGGAAGTTGCCACTGCTGATAAGATTTAAACCTGTTTTCCTTTCACCATCCCAATTTCTAGATTGACCTAGAATTTTCAAGCAGGCTAAAAGTTATTTCAATCATTTTAGGAAAATTGTTTTAATTTGGTCAATTTTCTGCTTATCTCAGGAAATTTTGATTCTTCTGTCACTTATCCAATTTCTCTAAAAATGACTATGAAAAATAAGAAACCCTGAGTCATTCTTTGAATTTGTTATATGGGATTTAAATTCTCTGTAGTGAACAGGATAGTCAAAGTAGAGGGGAGAGGTGGGAAGACTAACAACCCAAATCAGCTAGAGGGTATAGCAAACAGCGTGAGGACACAAGGTTCCTGCTGCCCGTGTCCCCACCACCGTGTGCCTGGGGTGGGTAGGCAGAATAGAGTTGCCCACTAAGAGGCTGTCAGGAAGAGTAGAGAGCGGTACACAGGGCGAGGTGAGGAGTGGGGAGATTCAGGATCTGCCAAAAAAGTTTTCTATGAATAAAGGAGAAAACAGTAGCTATTTCTCCTCAGACAAAACTGTTTGGTCTGGGCAACTTCCAGTGTAAGCAGCTTATCTTTGCTTAGCTGGCTTTTTAAATTTTTAACCATATTTTGTGAATTTCCTTTCTTATGCAAAGCTTGCCTTTGTTTTGAGAAAGAACCAGCCACTGCCCATGGTTCCTGGGGATTTGACTAGTCTTGCTTCTTTACTTGGAACTATGCCAGTAGGTATTATCATCCCAATATCTAAAAATCAATCTCTAAGTATTGATTATCTACATGTATTAAAGAGTTTTAAAACTCTCAATCCATATGCAGTGCTAATAAAGAGTTCCTGTGATAGTCTGAGGCTTCATTCTCGCAAGACCAAATGAACTATAAAATTTCACTTGCCTTAAAAATATAGGATATCAAGTTGGAATTGGTTAATCTGTTTAATAATCTAATATATATTCACTTGGGTATGTCAATAGTATCTGATTTAACTATTTAAAGTAGGATTTTCCTTTCATCATGTAACTTTTTAAAATTATATAAACCTGTAATTTCAAAGAATCATGAATAGGATATACTTTATCTAACCAACTAGTTTTATAACATTATTATTATTATTAAATGTTAATGGGCTGCTTGAGATCTTTCACTAGATACTGGACTTACGATAACAATTTTCATGGATAAGGACCACATCTATAACTATTATATTTTATAAATAGAAATAAGTCCATATTTAACCATTACTCACTTAGTCTATATTTCAATGTTGGAACATATGCCCTAATGATCTGTTCTATTTTTTTCCATTTTTGTTTATTTTTAGTGTTCCATTAAATACCACTTGATTTCAAATGTAATCTTTTATAAACCAGCAGCTCAGATAATACAGAGATTAATTCTCACGTCACTGGAAATGGTTTTTCAAGAAAGGATTAAGAAAGATAACAAAAAGAGAGTGAAACATATTCTTCATTCCCCAGGTTGACTTCTGTCAGTAATCTTTTAATTGATTGGCATGTATTCACCTCTAGTAAATGCATCCAAATTCAGATGCTTCTCCATATCCCTTCTACACTAAAGTAGAAATAGGTACACCATAGAGATTGGCCACAGCCTGGGTCCTTGGAAAACTTAAATTACTTATAAGGTGTCATTTTGTGATACATCAAGAGCATGCTGACATAGATTTAAATCCCAGACCAACTGTGTTCTAGATAATGCAACTTGGATCTATAATTAGCCTCTTTGAACTTCAGGGTTTTTTTATTTATAATAATAATAATTCTTATTGCTATCAATTTATTGTGATTATAAGACTTAACAGAGAGTAGTATCACCATTTGTTATTTTCATGCTGTATTGACCAGACAGTGATGTTCCCAATATTTATAATAAATAATTATGTTCAAAGTGAATTATCTCATAATAGGGCAATAAAACCCTCTGAGGGGGAAAAAACAGACCAATTATTGTGTAAGTTCTTTGTAGATTTTCTTATATCTTTACTGTTAATGAAATTATTTTTTAAATCCCCATTTAAAATAAGAAATATGGACACATACTTTTTTGTTGTTGGTGGTAGACTTTTATAATGTTCGTGGATTTATGAAAAGCTATTATCACTTTAAAGCATTAAAAAGGAAAGATATATACATTCTAAGACAAGAATTCTGAGAAAAATTCTAAATATCTTTTTAATCATGAAGGTAACTTCTAGATCCAGTTTGAAAACTCCAGTCTTTCAGGACAAAAATAGTATTAAATTAACATTGAAAACTTGAGTCAAAAGAAAATTAGAAAAGATGTGCTATAGTGTTGAAGTATGCTAAAAGGCTAAGGTGATATTAAAAAGAATATCACACAGTCGATGAGGAATGACCCAAACAAAGATGTTTTTTGAAGGTGATTGCTTTCATGGATAACCAGCTGGAGTGTCATATAAATTGCTCTTTTGGTGACTAAGCAGCACTTGAATCTTTCCAATTGGAATCTCTCAAATTTTTGTGATCCTAGTTTCAAAACACAACTCGGGGATAATAAGGAATAATAAAAGATATAATAATAATAGGTACCACCTGTTGAGCAAAATACTATTAAGCACTTTCCATATGTTCCTTCTTTAATCCCTACAAGCAACACTATGAAGAGACACTATGGACATTTTACAGATGGTAAAACTGAGACTGAGATCCAGGCAAGTGGCTTGGTCTGTCTCTTTCCATTAAGTCATGCAGTTTCCATTTTTTTTAAATCAATTTTACTTCCATTCTAATTACTCTGATCTTTTTCTAGTAAATGTCCCTTCACAGCTGAGGAAAAGATATAAAACGAACATAACTGAATTTGGGATCCTACCTCTTCCTCTCTTTCCACACTCCTTTAGAATAGAAAGCCAACTGAGACATAGGTTGGGAGCAGAGAGTCTGAGGAAGGAATCTTAAATATGGGCCATTAGTCCTTTAATAGCTGCACTAATGTGTCCAGATACAATGACCATTGCCTTCCAGTTTAATTTCAGACTTTCAAAAGGATGGTCATAGGGAATTACTCAGAAAAAGTGATCCTCCTTTTTGGCTTTTTAAATTTCACCAGTAAAGATCCTTCCCAAATTAAAATTGGTGATTATAAGTCTCCATGAGTTACTCTATAATTTCAGTTTTATTTCCGATATCCATCTCCTACCTTTGGTCTCAGTGCTAACAGCAGAAATCCCCAGTAACTTGCCAGCTCCTTTGCAACCTTCCCACTTTCCCTGATGCCCACCACTTGTGTATTTCTTCATACTGATGAAGCTGTTTTTGAGTAGGGTTTTGTTGGTTGGTTGGTTGTTTTTTGTTTGATTTTTTTAACCGTCTGTGTGATCTTGTCACATGCATTAAACTGAACCCCAGCTGAGAGCAGGGAAAGTAAATTAGTAAATTATATTCTCTTATTCTGAAAGTCTCTTTCTTTTTTTTTTTTTTTTTTTTTTTTTTTGCGGTCCCCGGCCCTCTCACGGTTGTGGCCTCCCCCGCCGCGGAGCACAGGCTCCAGACGCGCAGGCTCAGCGGCCATGGCTCACGGGCCCAGCCGCTCCGCGGCATGTGGGATCTTCGCAAACTGGGGCACGAACCCGTGTCCCCTGCATCGGCAGGTGGGCTCTCAACCACTGCGCCACCAGGGAAGCCCCTGAAAGTCTCTTTCTTTTAATTAGCCCTACAAATTCATAGAAACCTTCCCTTAAGTTAAATTTATGCAGATATCTATGCAGACTTTGAGGGCATAATTTTTTTAATTCAAGGGTAATTATCAAGGGGGTATATGTTAGCAGTATGTACAAAATTTATGTAACTTACATAAGCAGTAGGTATCAAAATCCCATAATTCTGTAGTTCAAAATAATGAACTATAGAAAAGTATAGTTCATTATTTGATTAACTGTTATTTGCTGCTGTGGTTGTTTGCAGCAGTTTTTTGCAGCAGTACCATGTAGCAGTACATGTAGTCAGTGACATTTTTCCTAGCTATATTGTGAAGCCCCATGAGCAGGAAATGTGCTTCTACTGAAACACCGCTCCTCATACAATGTTTTTTACAAAGCCACACTGGGCTTTCCAGCAATGGCAGACGATCGACTTACCTAACAAAATCATAGGTTATCCATAACCAACGCTACCATAGGAGCATCAACAGTCTTCACAGTTACCAGCCCTTTGCTGCTCTGGTAAAGAGAAAACAGAAATGGTCAATGAGCAACTCCCCAAATGCTTTGGGACCTTCATCATCCTCTGACAGTCCCTATTTGGAAGTTGCTAATGTGTACGATCAATACGTCTCTAGACCTGCAATCTTGTTGCTCACTTTTATGAGAGTTGACTCTGTTATGCGGTTAGCTTCGAGAACATTCAGTCCACCAGAGCATAAAGACAAGTATCTGTTGGCTTTTTTTGCTTTTCAGAGTATGAAGTTATATCCAGAGAAAATGGGTCATTCAGTGGGAAGAACAAGTCCATTCAAACTACAAATCAAACCTTCTCCACAGTAGAAAATCTAAAACCAGACACAAGGTGAGCCACCAGTGCTATTACAGATGAATTCTGAGAGTGCAAAAATCATAACAAAGGAGTAAAACGACATCATCCTTCTCTATCTTAAGGGAGGGTCTAGTTTGCATTTCTTTCTTTGGCTTTCCATACACAGCACTAGATACCCCTAGAGTCATGGTTTACAAATATGCAAGTTATTGGTGGGGCTACAAGAGCTGACAAGATGGTCTTGTAAGTTAACAGTACAGCTGGGAACATTGAAAGATAGAAGGCCATTAATATCAAACATTGATATTAAATACCAAAATTTAGAGGAGGAAAAGTCTATAGACCAGAGACAACTGGAGATGGATGGTGTAAACTAGATTTGAAGCACAGAAGAAGTTGCCTGGCATGCTGGAAGGAGAGGGCAAGGAAACAAAAGCCATGTGACAAATGTAGGTGAAAGTCTGTAATAGTTAATGCTTAGTATAGCTACAGACTAGTCCCAGACACAGTAACCCTTTGCTTTTGGGTCTTTTTAATATAGAGCAATGAGAATAGATTTTTGAAAATGGACATATATAATATTAACAATTGTTCAATAATAAACAACTTTTCTTGGCATTCCTTACTACACATTGATACCAGGTTGTTTATCTTGTTTATGCTGTATAGTTTTGTGATTCCTTTTTAAATCTAAAATACCTAATATTTTATCAGTTCATTTTATTATTTCAAGAAAAATAAGGGCCTTAGGCATTTCTAGAAATGTAGTAGGGAAGGGGTTTTTTGTTTTTGTTTTGTTTTACATGGCTAAATTGTCAAATGTATTGCTCAAGGAGATTCTCAAATGGATACAGCCAAGCATTTCCATGACAAAGCCAATGTGCTAAATTCATTTCTGGACTAAATTTCACTCTCTGTGAAAAATCGATTTCTTTCTTCAAGCTCCAAAACATTGTCTGATAAACTGTCTATACTTTCAGTATAAAACAAAACAAAAACACCCCTGACATCTTAAGTTATAGTATCCCAAGCAACATAGATCAATTTTCACACAATCAGGAGTTTTTCCAGGTTGAGTATTTCATAACTTGATAAAGTTCCTCAGTGTTGAAAAAGGTCAGTGGAGGTGAAGACTGGAACTTCAGCATCAGAGATTTTTTTTTTCATGTTTTATTTCTTGTATCTTTCATTGTCATGTGACTGAATTGAATTGGGTATTGATTGTGACACCCAGAAGAGCTTCTCTGGGCTCTGACAGCAGGGAGACTTTTCTGATCTTTTCAGGAGAAAAGGAAGTATCTAATTCATTACAGATGATTTGCTGTATATAAACTGTAGAGTCCTATACAGCAAAAACAACACTTTTCCAGCAGTATATGTTTTTTTCTTTTAAGTTCTCTGAGTTGTAATATGGAGAATTTTGTAACTGCTAATTTTCTTGAAGGTATTAAGTTAGCCAAAATAAGCACATATTTCAGTAAAAGCCCATTTGATGATCTTGGTTCTGTTTCCTTAGCAAGATTAACAGGGAGAGAGCCTATAATTTATTTTAAGGAAAGAGTAAAAGAGAAAAGGTCATTTAATTTGGACTTTTTAATAGGTGGATTTGGGCTTACAAAACTTGGTTTTTCTCTGCAGTTTCTTGCTTTTTATTCCACTTAGGAAAAAGTGAGCTGTGTAGTACACAGAAACTACATTGAAGGGCATCCAATTTCTAAATGTTCATTGTATTCCTTTTCTGAATCAGGCTGTTCTCAGATTTCACAGTGCACCTATTAGCTCATAATCAGAGGTAGGATAATGCCAGTGACATTTTAAACCTGATTTGTTTGTAAAAGGTTTGGGTCTGCATTCAGCTAACATTTACTGAGTGCCAACAATGTGCTCAGCCCTGTGCTTGGTGTTGTGCCTACAAACAGGAGTAAGCATGGTACCTGTCCTTGAGGAGCTCGAGGCTAGTGGGGTAGGTCGCTAATGACTGATTATTCTACACAAAGTGGTGAGACTTCTGGTAGAAGTCTGCACCAGGGGTGGCAGAAGCCCAGAGTGGGCGGCACATCGCAAAGTGTGGGGAAATTAGGAAAAACTTCCTGGGGGAGGTGACCCCCAGGCTGAGGCATGAAGGAGGAGTAGGCTGGACCCAGCTAAGTGACTGTGGTAAGAGAAAGGAATGTCAGGGAGGATAGCACATGTCAGCAGTGGCCCGAAATGGCACGGTTGTTTGTGGTGAATAACGGGCTGTTTTCACCAGCGTGAGGGGCAAAAAGTGGACAGAAGCCGTAGAAGCCAAGAGAAGCAGAAGCCAAGTTAGGGAGGGCCTTCTGTGCCAGATCAAGAAACATGGTCAAGTGATGGGGAGACCCTAAAGGATGGTAACTGGGGAGTGCCTTGCTCCGACTTTCATTTTCATTTTCATTCTGACTTTCATTTAGTTGGAATAATCACTTTTGATACTAGAGCTACTTATAACGAATAGCAGCTGGTAGAACAAATCTAACTAAAAGAACTTTTTGTTAATTTCTTTCATGAGTACCATTCTGGCATCTGACCTAATTGGTCAAATGGGTACATAAGAGAAACGTGCCTTTGGGCTGACCTGGATTTCATTCTGGAATCACAGGACCAATCAGGTCATGGGGTTCACATCTAGCTTCTGGTTGTAATTGTCTCAGACTCAGCTACAACCTTGTCCTCTTTATCCCACCCTCCTCCTATGTGTCTTGCTTGTCTCTGCTGTCTGTCATCAGTGCACCTTCTAAGGAGGACCTCTGCAACCTATCCTTATCCCAAGACGAGCAAAGCCCAAAGGAAACCTTTTCTGGATTTGTCTTTGGAAAAAGCAGTATTAAACTAAGATTAGGAATCCCTGTAATCAGAACTCCATGCCAAGTTTTACATCTTGGCATAAAGTTGGGGCCACTATGCATGTCTGTATGTGGCTTATTTAATGTTATTTTTAGTTTGGTACAGTTAAATGAAATCCATTCAGATATAAAGACTGTTAATGTTCATAAATGTGATTTGACCAGGGTTATATTGATAGTCCCGAATGGGTCATGATTTAAAAGTTGTATATCAGTAGTTTGAAGTAAAGAACATTCTCACACTGGGGACAAATATAACACACATGGATGTAAATTTTCTAATGAAAATTATTTAGTCTATGCCATGGGAAACTTTGTGGTGGTCTAGTAGTTCAGTAGATCCCAGCCCCCACTGAGCTTGTAAATATATTCTGCACTCTCAGAGGTATGATGGAGATTAATCTGTCTATCTAATGGGCAAAAATGTTTTGAGCTGAAATATTAAAATTACGTGCTGAAACCACTATTAGTCAAATAACCAAGGAAGAATAAAGTGAAGTCAAATCATTTCATTTACTTTGAGATTTCTGAGCCTAAAGGTACCCGAGGAAACAAAACTAACACCCATGAAACATCATAACACAGAGTAAAAGAACATGCCGATGTAGGACTTACACCCAGGTTCTGCAATTTAGAAGAGGAGAGAAAGCCTTGTGGAATACTTGAGACAAGACCTTGACAGTAAAGGATAGGGTGGCATGAAGCAGGCCGGCAAGAAAAGAAAGAACAGTAGTATTCCACGTGAAATCCATGTGCACAACTTAGGTGAAATACAAGTAGTCTTCAAAGTTACTACTGACAGCAAGGCTACAGCAAGCATAATAAAACTACGAGTTCCCCAATGTAGGTTTGTTGGCTCTTTTGATGCAAGCTTTTTTCATACTGTCTTACGTTGTTAATGCAACATTTCTTTCTATTGTATCTTCTCTACCCCAACCATGATCCAAGATTAATGTTAATAAAAGACTCCCTGTAAAATAAAAAGGAAGTATGTACAGGATGCAGTTAGCAGGTGGTTTTTATTAGCTATAAAGAATGACTTCAGTCACATTTCATTACTTGAGGAAAATTTTGAGTCAAAATACATAGTAAACTCCCTAAATAAGCAAACTTTGAGTTATAGCTGTTAAAATTCCCCCATGAGGTTCTGGAATTCCCTGTTTGAAAAGCTGGAAGATAATAACTTCTGAAAGAATATCTAGCTTTTTTCCAATTCTAGGAGACACATATAAAGAATTTATTTTAGTCGCATTTTCCATCATTTGTCCTGACTAAAAAACAGGAGCTCTAAAAACAGGTGATAATTACTGGCTAATCGTTACACAGTGACATAGGTGGAGTAGAGCTTGGTGTTAGAACATCCAGGAGAATCAAGGCAGAGGAAAATAGATCTACAGAGCTTTGCGGGATAAAAATTCTAAGTGTTCACACACTATTCTAGAATCAAAAAGACAGTCAACGATGCTACCGTCTCCCTGCCCATTTTTAACGACTTAGCCAAATTTTATTTACTCTGCAGAAGCTCGAAAAATAACCCACAGTACGGGACCATCCAGCAGGTGTCTTGCTGCTGGGAGAGTTCAGCTGCACACCTGGCGTGAGATGTTTCTGTCTCTAGAAAACGGAGCCACTTGGCTGCCCTGAGGAACCTGGGTGCAGCTCCCAGGGCGGCACAGCAGGGAGAGGCCCAGCCTTGCTGACGGCTTCTTGCAGCTGGGGTGATAGATGTACGCAGGGAAGAGGGGCTGTTTGTGGGCAGCCAGAGCTGTTTTAGTCAGGTGAAGCAGGAGATCTGTTAACAGAGGCAAAAAGCTGTGGCACAACTCTATCACCTTCTTTGGAGGATCCCTCTCTCACCCCTGCCCCTAAAAATACAAAGAAAATGTAGAGATGTTAGTGTCCACTGAATCAGTACCCATCTAGGCCACTCTCCAATATTTATTTTCCACTTATTTTTTTCCCCCATGAAACCTCATTGTGTGGCTCTTGTTGAACTAAAAGAAAAATATTAAGAAGAGCCTCTCCTGTCCGGAGCCAACTACTTTGTTTGCAAAGACCACTATGATTATATTTAGTTCCGTGAATGGAAGAAATGATAAAGTATATGGCTTAAAAAATTGTGTTGCACCACTGCTTAAAAGGACACAAAGTGTGGACTAATTGATCTTG